AATATTCCAAGCATTGTGTTGTTTTTCATTTCTTTTGCTATTTACATTTTAATTTACAGTTAAAACTAATTAAAGGGATTGTTAAAATCTTTTCTAAAAAAAAAAATATGTGTATAGATGACACTGATATCATCAATTTACACCATTCCAATTTTCAATTAGAAGTTTAGAAAACCTCTTTACAATCTCTTGATTATCTTGATTATTTTAAATTTAAAAATTCTAATTTGTATGGTTTTATTTATTTTCTCAGTCTAGCATCAGGTTCAATGATGGTTAGGACTTCTGGTTTGATTTAATTCTACTATTGCATTGATATGTTTTTATCTTTAGGTTATTGTGAAGGTTGAATTCTCTATTTAGTTTGGAATTCTCTATTTAGTTTGGAATTCTCTATTTAGTTTGGAATTCTCTATTTAGTTTGGAATTCTCTATTTAGTTTTAGATTATGTTGGATTGTGTGTTTAATGGTGGTTTATTTTCAGGCCTGTCTCAGTTGTCGTAACGTGGCATGTGGTCGTTTTAATAATGGGCATGCTCTTAGACATTTTCAAGACAAAAAGGTAAGTATATTATCTGAAATAAGAGAAAGATTCTTAAATATATTCATATGTAAAAAAACTGTTTATGATCATTCTAAATGTGACACATTTAACTGTACAGCAAAGCCAGTAACAGCAGTAATTTTTTTTGAGCATATAATGTTCCTATAAGAGAGATGCTGATCTAATAACTGTTGGTCAGCTTTCATTAATGTTGAAATAAAGACATGTTCTTTGTCTTTTGACCTTTTTTTTAAGAAATTAATCTCCAAAAGAGAAAAGTTTATAATCTTTCAAGGATTAATCATTAGACTGAAATAATGATGAAGGAATTTGTAAATTAGATTAATTTGAAATATAAACCATACAGTATTATTATCTTTCTATTGTTGTACAATTCCAGCATCCATTGGCTATAGAAGTAAATGATAGATATGTTTATTGGTGAGTATTCTGTTATTTATAATCCCTGCATCTACACATTTGATAGGTTCAATCTGATTTATATGCTTGGACCTTATTCTAAAAAACATAACTAACGATGATTTTAGTGTTCCAGTCCTCTGATTGGTCAATCTTTAAAATTGATTACTGTATTCTTAAAATCTAGATTTATCATGGTTAAGCTTTTGAGGATGAGGCCACAGATCTAGTTGCTTAGATCAGTGGTTTTTTTTCCATTGGTCAATCACTAAAATTGATTTGAAATTAAGTTTTATTGTCCAATCAGATGACTGTATTCTTAAAATGTAGATTTATCTTGGCTAAGT